TCAGACACAGTTCCTCAATATTTCTCTAAACAGGACTGCACTTCTAAATGTGACTCTTGAGAAATGAGCTCTCCATGTAGGTTAGTTGCAGCTATCCAGGTTGTTAGCCTCTGAGCCCAGGTGCATGCTTTCTCTAGGAGGTGCACGAGGTCACTGCAGCTCTTGCCTGGAATAAGACCTGCTTATATGGGAACACAATACTTCAGAGAAGATTTTGTGCTGTGCTTACTTCCATAGCGGTTTAGTGGCTGCACGGACACACACCGATGGCAGCACATGAATGTCTGCCTTGCATCGTGCTGTTGAAGATTATTGTTGAAATGCAGTGCAGCACCAATAACTCAGTTTTCCTCCACACAAAATGCATGGATGTGGAACTGCAAACACCTCAGCTCAACATCCTTTTCTTAAAATTGTCCATCTCCCAACCCAGCTAGGGCCGGCTGTTCTCACGGAGGGCTCGAGGCCCAAGCAGGCCAAGCACGCCTGCCTGTCACAGCATCCCCACGGGTGCCTCCTGCCCCTGACTCAGTAATGCTTTGCATCCATTCTGCCCTGTGTTCAGCTCTCTCAATCCCTGTGCTTTAGCTGAAGGCTCTCCAGATCATACAGATGGGCATTACTGTGCCCGCGTGCTGCCATAACTTGGCTGCACGGCCCAGGCCTCCCCTACAGCCCGCAGTGCCTCCTCTGAGCTTCACGGTGCTGCGGGGAGCTCCGACAGCAGTCGTTTCACAAACGATGATGATGGGGAAATAAGCAAGCTGCACAAGTCATTAACAGAACATTAGCACAACAGACAATTTTCCAACAGACTAGCTGCATTGCTTAGGCTCGCGGGATGAAAATGGCACTGTGGAGAAATGGGGAGGTGCTGCAGATCAGCGTGCGCTTCTGGCTCACAGCGAGCACAAAATAAATTGCTTGTCTTAGCCCGAGGTAATTTTCTCTATGTATCTGATCCCTCAGACTCCCACCTAGGCGTGTTTAGCATATATGGCTGCCAACCAAAATCTGTGCTGATGCTACTTGCAATAGAAAGGGAATTTTTCAAGAATGAACTACTTAACTGTGGAGAGGGTGATGTTTTCTTCTATCCTACTAGAATAGAAGAATAGCTGTTTCTAAACAGGTACCCAAATAGCCCTGTGCAAACTATATTGTTTCTTTTTCAGCAGTTGGTAACAGTGACCATTAATACAGCTGCCACTGAAGCAACAATGCTTCATCTTCCTTTGGCCAAGAAAACACATTCAGCATCTATTTTCTGTAGTTGGCAAATTAACTACAAACACTGTGATGAACAGGGTTGGTTGGTTTTTGTTGGGGGATTGTTCCTTAACATTCTCCTGTTACTGTGATATGAACTTAACCCTGCTTTTTGCTTGCATCACCCCAACAACCAAACACTCAGGAGCACTGCAATGAGGGCCCTCCTGCCCCAGAACCAAATGCCCCCCCCCTTCTTCCCTACCATTATCTTCCCTTGGCAAAACAAATACTCTAAGTTAAGCAGTTTTCACAACCCAGACAGAAAGGGATCCTCCCCATCGCATTATTGAGAGGGAAGAAGCAAGAATGATGATCACATTTTCAGTCTGCAAGAAATATGAGCACACTGATAGCCCAGACATCAGCTGTGGATTTGCTTACTGACAGAAATGTGGTTTCTTAATGCTCTGGGAATTGAGAGGTGCTATGGAAAATGTATTTATTTAGCCCCTAGCAAAATAATTCCCTCTATGCATCTCCCATAAAATTAAGCATTATTTCTGTTGATAGCAAGTTCACACCTGTAATGACTACTGTAGTGGTTTGGTGCACTAAAAAATGAATTTCATAAACAGAAGGGAAGGCAGGGAATGCTAAAAGCTGATGTCTAAAGCACAGAGTCTATGCTGAGCCTCGCCAGGACAGCTTGCACTGCACCTCCCAGGCCTGGCAGTTTCTCCACACAATATTTTTTAAAAAATATATAGTTTCTAACACACAATCAGAACAACCTCCACCTACCACATGGCCCCCATTAAACATCAGTTTCAGAAAAAATGAGTTTACGTGCCCCTTTTCTGGAGCCAGCGTTAACTGTGTGGCTTTCCAAAGCTGAAATCTTTTGAACCAGCCCCCTGACTTCTCACTGGCTCCTACTGCATTCAGCTACTGTGGAGGAATTGTGTTTGTTTCCAACAAACAAACAAGCCAACCCCAGACACAGTAACTCAACACAGAAGGATTCTCACTGGGCAAAAACACTGAGATATCAGCAAATAATGAGACTCAAATAGTGACACTCAAATTCTTCTTAATTCAGCCTCACTGACTTCACTGGGAGTTGGGTATATTCCCTCTTTCCCAGAGGCATGCCTGGTTTATCTGCTTGTCTCTGCAGTTTTTTGTCGACGGTCATTTTAAACCATATAGCGTCAGAGAGTTTGTCTCCAAAGGTTGGGTGTCCTTCAGCTTATCCACCAACAAATCCACCACAGCATATATAAACCACGGAACAAACCAGCCATTACTATTGTGTTAATAACGCAGCACACTTTTCCACTGATAACTTTTTTAGTTTTTACTAGAGCGATGGATGTGGTTTTACAGCATAAGCAGCAGGTAGCACAAAAGTCCATGACTTGGCCTTTCCCTGTGCTGTGGCCTCTGGATGTCATTCACAGATCGCAGCATTGGACTGGCTGGGCACGTGGAGCTGATCAGAACTTACTGTTACATTACAATGGATTTTCACTACTGGCTTCATCCATGCTTCCCTGGGCTGGGGGAGATTGGAGACAATAACGTGCAGGTCATTTCCAAAGAACATTTTCCAGTTGAAGAGAATTAGATCCATTTGCAGTAGCAAATAACTAGAGAAGAGAAATTGTCACTGTTAACTTGTAAAATCATGTTCCTACAGTGATCAAAATACCAGGAGTCTATTCAATTAATCCAGAAATACCTTCTTAGCAAGGAGGAACAACAAAAGCAATGTGTATGATGATATAAATATTTGACAAAGAAATGACTGAATTAATTTATTAATTTTTTTAATACTCTGGACATACTCCCCCACATTCTAAAAGAAGCTTTGAAGTCTTTTTCAGGCAGTTTCATTTTTAAAGCATTACATGATTCGTATAACTACATCAGAAGTAAATCAGTACTAACATATCAGTAGAGACAGAGCAGCTTTATAAGGCATGGACATCCTTCCTGTACATCCACCTAGAAACAAGTTGCAGGACAGGTCTGAAGGAGCAGTATTACCTCTTGCAGAGCTATCTGGTTTGGTGCACATTGCTGCCTGGTACTGCTGCTTGCTTGCCTCACTCTGAGCCAGTACTGCAATGCTGGAAGAGAAGTGTCCATATTTCAAGGGAACAGACCACACAGAACTGCAGCTCAAGGCTTCTTAAGTAAAACTCTGAGATTGTTATTGAATTAAATCATAAATTATTACATGACAAATACTACAAATGCTGGAAAATCTGGAATTAATTAAGCTTCTGATATCAGCAGTACTGCTAGTATTCTATTTTGCATCAGCTACAAATGGACTGTTACTGAGAGAAGCTTCTATAAAAGCCAGAATAACTCAGTTTATGTCACTTTCCTCATCATTCTATAGTAGTGTATATTCTTACAACTACAGTGCCATCATTAGGGTTTTTTTCTAACGCAGTTAGTATTCAGTTCTTTCATCAGTTCAAAGTTGTTTGAGAAGAAATGTTTGTTCTGCATTTGGCTTTTTCCCCCTCCAGCACGATCTTCTCATCTCTAATTGAAATCTTTGCTACCAGACAGAAAATCTAACTCAGCAGGGTCAAACGCTTTCTGGCCCATGTTCCTGGTTCTCTTCATCCAAAATACAACCACAGAACAAATAACAGCGGACCAAAACAAAACTGCTCTTTGGTTTGTACTGCTTACCATAATCTGAAATAAGTTATTTAATATACTGACCAGATTTTGCAATAATTATGTATTATAAATGTCATTCCTATCACCACTATCTAGATGACTGTTTTTAAAAGTTGTGTTTAGTTCTTCTATTTTATACAGAAATATTTTTGTGGGCTTTGGTTAAGTTGAGGCTTCACTAAATTCTAATTAAAAACAGAATAAAGCAGCTTTTTCCTAATTTCTTCTACTACAGCTTATCAGTGTTTCTTAGTCTTTTTCAGACAAAGCACAACTTGAGGGTTTTCAGACAATTCAGCTTTTTTTGTAATTAACATAATTAACTGCAATCACTATACCACGAGATACAGCATCACCTCACATTTTGAGAGGCCTGATGGACACCATCAGGTTTCCTTTCAAGATGTGCCTTCAGTGTAAAAACATACATGAATTCTGTAGTTTATTCAGTGATTTGGAAGTAGGGTAAATATTCCACGTGACACACAATACAGTACAAACAGCTAAAATAAGGACAGCGCAGGCATTAATCATATTTGGTGTTATTGTTTGGCGCTTAGCTGGATTAAATCTAAACTATTATCTGGAACTGATTTGATTAACTTGGATGAATTTTGTCAAAGTTCTTAAGCATTTGGTTTGAAACTTAGAAAGCCACATGTTTCTAAGCCATGATTCTCTATACCCAAAATACAAGTCAATGGAATAACACTCTCAGCCTGAATTCTATTTGGGTCTGTGTTCTGAACACTCATCTGGTATCTGCCTGTAGTCAAAAGCATGTCCTGGACCTTCAACACTTCCTAAGCCATTCAAACTGATGCTGAATAACAAAAATAAGAGATATCTGGAAGTTTTCAGGTGATTACATATACTTTTATAGTCACTCAAGAACGATCTCATGCAAATCTGAAATAGAGGAGAGTTCCAAACTATACATATCTTACTGCATTTTCTTAAGAGATCTGAATATTAAAATGCTTACAACTGTCGTCGCAGGTCCTTTTCTTTAAAGGACAAAGAAAGAATATATGAACTGTGTATGACACATGAGCATAACATTTCCTTATCTGTTTTATCTTCAGGCACGGATTTGTAGAAGATCCTGGAACACAGAGGAGCAGCTGAGAGCCTTCAGACCATTTACTGTCTTCTCTAACCTTACAAAATCAACTTGCATCTTCTGGATGTCCAAGCCTTTCACACCAAATTTTAAGCTTTACATTTCCTGCCTGACAACAAATTACACTCTTGGTCTGTTGTTATTTTAAGGGCCTGGGGAGCTGAATTCACTAGCTGACCATCATGGCTAAGATTAGATTAGTTTTAACTGTTTGCCAGGTGGTGCTAGAATTGCTAACGAATTCATTAACTGAGTCTTCCGTACAGAGTAATGAATGTCCCCAGCTTTGTGTATGCGAAATCAGGCCATGGTTTACACCACAGTCAACATACAGGGAAGCCACAACAGTTGACTGCAATGACCTTCGTTTAACAAAAATCCCCAGCAATCTTTCCAGTGACACTCAAGTCCTTCTGTTACAAAGCAACAATATTGCAAAGACCACAGATGAACTCCAACTGCTATTTAATTTAACAGAGTTAGATTTTTCACAAAATAACTTCACAAGCATCAAAGACGTGGGCCTCTCAAATCTTACTCAGCTAACTACTTTGCACCTGGAGGAAAACCAGATCATGGAGATGACTGATTACTGCTTGCAAGACCTTTGCAATCTTCAGGAGTTATATATAAATCATAATCAGATCAGCAGCATTTCTGCAAATGCATTCTCTGGCCTGAAGAATCTTTTAAGATTACATCTCAACTCCAACAAATTAAAGGTTATTGACAGCCGTTGGTTTGATTCTACTCCTAACTTAGAGATTCTTATGATTGGAGAAAATCCGGTGATTGGAATACTAGATATGAACTTCAAACCACTCTCCAATTTAAGGAGTCTTGTTTTGGCAGGTATGTATCTCACAGATATCCCTGGCAATGCCTTGGTAGGCTTGGACAGTCTTGAAAGTCTTTCCTTCTATGACAACAAGTTGGTTAAAGTTCCTCAGCTTGCACTTGAGAAAGTTCCAAATCTAAAATTCCTAGATCTCAACAAAAATCCAATTCATAAAATTCAAGAAGGTGATTTTAGAAACATGCTTAGGTTGAAAGAGCTTGGAATCAATAACATGGGAGAGCTTGTTTCCGTGGATAGGTATGCGCTGGACAACCTGCCTGAACTTACAAAGCTGGAAGCCACCAACAACCCAAAGCTGTCTTACATCCATCGTTTGGCATTTCGTAACGTCCCTGCCCTGGAGAGTTTGATGCTGAACAACAATGCCTTGAACGCTGTCTACCAAAAAACAGTGGAGTCCCTCCCAAACCTGCGTGAGATCAGCATCCACAGCAACCCCCTGCGGTGCGACTGCGTCATTCACTGGATCAACTCAAACAAAACCAACATCCGCTTCATGGAACCTCTCTCCATGTTCTGCGCCATGCCTCCAGAGTACAGAGGACAACAGGTAAAAGAAGTGCTAATACAGGATTCAAACGAGCAGTGTCTTCCAATGATCTCTCACGAGACCTTTCCAAATCACTTAAACTTGGACATTGGCATGACAGTGTTTTTAGACTGTAGAGCCATGGCAGAACCCGAGCCAGAAATTTACTGGGTCACTCCCCTTGGAAATAAAGTAACGGTTGAAAGCCTCTCTGACAAATACAAGCTGAGCAGCGAAGGCACCTTGGAAATCTCCAACATTCAGATTGAAGACTCTGGGAGGTACACCTGTGTTGCTCAGAACATAGAAGGAGCTGACACCAGGGTCGCCACAATCCGGGTGAACGGAACGCTTCTGGACGGCACCCAGGTTCTGAAAATCTTTGTGAAGCAAGCTGAATCGCATTCCATTTTAGTTTCTTGGAAAGTTAACTCCAATGTCATGACTTCCAATTTAAAATGGTCATCAGCTACTATGAAGATCGACAACCCTCACATTACATACACCGCTCGGGTCCCAGTTGACGTACATGAATATAACCTCACGCATTTACAACCTTCTACAGATTATGAAGTGTGTCTCACTGTGTCCAACATCCACCAACAAACACAGAAGTCCTGTGTTAACGTTACAACAAAAAACGCAGCTTTTGCGCTTGATATTTCAGACCAAGAAACCAGCACTGCTCTGGCAGCGGTAATGGGATCAATGTTTGCTGTAATTAGCCTTGCCTCCATTTCTGTTTACATTGCAAAAAGATTTAAGAGAAAAAACTACCACCATTCATTGAAAAAATATATGCAAAAGACCTCCTCAATCCCCCTGAATGAGCTCTATCCTCCACTTATTAATCTCTGGGAAGGCGACAGCGATAAGGACAAGGATGGTTCTGCAGAGACCAAGCCAACCCAAGTCGACACATCCAGAAGCTATTACATGTGGTAACTCAGAGGATATTTTGCTTCTGGTAGTAAGGAGCACAAAGACTTTTTTGCTTTATTCTGCAAAAATGAGAAGTTGAAGACTTTTGTATTTTTGACTTTGCTAGTTTGTGGCAGAGTGGTGAGGACAGGTGGATATTTCAGAATTTTTTAGTATAGCGTATCGCAATTGTTTGACACAAATGGCAGCTTCACCTAGCTTCCACATTTCTTCTTTTTTTTCCTTTTTTTTTTTTTTTCCTTCTTTTTTTAGTTATTGTGCTAAACTTAATGCTGTTCTAACTGCAGTGCTGAATAAAATTAATGAGAGGCTGGGGTTACCTGTGATTCAAAAGTAGCACAACCCCGTTCTTCTGAAGCCATCAGTAGAGTACAGTATCTTGCAAAGCTAACATACAGTTTTGAAACTGCATTGAACTAGTTTTGTAACGCTGGTCTGAGGACTCAAAGTGAGAAAAAGGAGACCTTGAAGGATGTTAGTTGACTGTACTGTAATGTTGTATCAACTGATCTGAATGTTTTTGACTTTGGACAATGAGTTATCATTTTTCTTTCTGTAGTAGTTGAAAAGGCTTAGGTAAAGCTAACAGGCAATAGAAATATGTACACCCAGGTTTTTAGTGTAACAGACTAAATGTTAATTGTTCTCTTCTTTTTGTTATCTTCAGTAGACACCTTTGAAAAACACTAGAGTTTTGTTGCGCTTAAGCCACCGCCCCTGGTGTTTAACAAAGGCAGAGCTATAATAACTTTAGTTTTATTCTGATTTTTTTTATTTTAGAAGTCACAATAATGTATTGGTTTTAGATGTCACTAGTTTGACTGGTGATCATGTTTTGACATAAAATATACCCAAAATGTCATAGAAAAATATTGTGTTTTTTTCTCGATGGGATTACATTTCAACTAAGTGGCAGGGTTGGCTTTTCGTTGTTGTTTTTTATGCATTTATTTTAATAGTGTTCTCTGCACTGGATGCAAAATACTGAAAATAATTAGAAAACTAGGTCTGGCTTTTAGACTGTAAGTCACATGCAGAATCAAAACTGTCTGGCATAAGGTACACAGCAAAAGCAATTCAGCGTATAAAAACTTTTCCTTTTTGTATACTTTTCTGTTCATATTCAGAGCTGAGACGCAAATGAAGCTGACATTTAGCTGTCATTATGATCAGTTAGGACAAAAACCAACTCAGTGCTCCCAAACTGAAAGAAAACAACCAAATCCTTGGCATACACGTTTGAAAAAAAAAAAATGTGAATGGGATTTATGTTCCCTCAAAAGCAAAAAGTGAGATAGCTAAACCTAACCAAACAGTAACAAGTTTGGGTCCGATATGGAACTATAGTTTCACCAGGTTTCAAGTCAACAAGTACTCTGAGCATTTCACTGAATTAGTATGTTAAAAGTGGAAGACCTCAGCAAGCACTGGTGTTTGTGTGTGCACTGGGTATGACATAAACACATAACGGACAGTTGAACCTACAGAAGCTTTGTACGTTGTCTTTTCTGAATCCACTGGAGTTCTCAGCAGGACTGCACACAGTCAGCAGGGGGGTTCTGGTGGAACGTGTGGCTGCAGTTGCACCGGATCCCTAATGAGCAAGCACAGAGTTTTCTACGCGTTACGACCACTTATCGATGTGCAACCTTTTAAATGTTTTTACATGCCAAATGTTCTTAGTGAGTAAAAGTTAATTGTTACAACAATGGATGTGCCTGGATTTTGGGGTCAACGTTTTTTTGGGTTTTTTTTGGTTTGTTTTTTTTTTTTAACTCACTAGTTTATCTAAACAAGAAAAAATCAGCACTCACCCAAAATTGCAGACAGACAGCTTCCAACTTCTCTCTTCCCTTCAGCCAACAGTCTGGAAGTGAAAAAAAGTCAGTGTCGTTTTACTAAGTGTGTTTTGGTGCAGAACCCTCAGTCTCTCAGATACATGCCTTGTCAATTTGCATCTCGATGCAAAGCTGAGTGAAGCTATTAATTATTCATTTAAATCAAGTACTTCTGCTACACACAATTTTTTATACGTTCATGAGATCTCATATTTTTAATCACATGATAGTTACATGTTGGGATTAGGCAAGTGTCCTTTGATCACGGAGAAGCAGCATGCTGGAAGCATTCATGTGTCACCTTCTCCTGTATTTTATGTTAATGCAAAATCTCCCCTTGCCTTCTCCTCCAGAAAAGCTTAAGAGCAATAATTACCATCTTGTGTATATGCTATCCTAACCTTAGAACTGCCTCTACCATTATAACAATGATAATGAATTAAAACTGAGATCTCTTTTGCACTGAAGATTCACTGTACTTTTTCCAGAGAAAAGGACATAGGGAGGACAAGGTCGACAGTAAAAATTACAGCTTCCAACTTGCACAACATCATAAAATTGTCCTGAGAAAGTAATTATTGAGCAGGTGTCAGATGCTGCAGAGCAGGCCCCTGCCTCCCCCACCTTCCTGCAGCACTTGTGCAGCTGTGCCACAGACACTCCGTAACAACAAGCTTTCACCTGAGCCTCCTGTCCAGCGGGGTCGGTGTATGGGAAGGGAAGCAATGTCTGATGTGTTCCTTGCCGCTGGGGAAATTATGTGCCTGTTCTTCCCTGCAGACCTATTTGGCAGTTTTATGTCATTTGTTATCATTATAGTGCAATGCTGTTAAAGAACAGCGAGAGAAAATGGCCTTATGACAGTCATACACTTCTGGATGTGCTGATCTGTAGTATTTCAGGGCAGCTGATGTTGCTGGGGCTCTGGCAGAGAGATGCAGGTTCCCTGACAACAGCTCAACAGCCACAACACCCTGTTAGTGCCGCACATTCTGCACATACAGCCACCAGTGACATGTATTTTCAGCCTTGTAATCTGTGCCCTTAGAGCTCTGTACAGTTCTCCTGGAAATTTAAAATTCTGCTAATAAAAGAAAAATAAAACAGTGGGTAAGAGATTAATGACATGTGGCATATAATCTTAGCAAATAACCTTCAACCTTGTCCTAGCAATTCTGTGCTTGCAGTTTGTTGTAAGCAAAAATAAAAATATTCTCTTTGCCTAATTGCCTTCAAAATATATTTGCATCTACCATTCACTGGAGACAAAAACACCCCTGGTTTGCTCAGATCTAGAGATGAAGCCTGGCTGCTATAAAGCAGCACAGGAAGAACCTCGGTTGTCTAGCTAGCTGTTCAGAAATGCTATGTAAGAGTAGATATCTCATACCCAACTAAACGTTTGCAGTATTACTTCCACATGATTTCCCAATCATAAACTATCCTTGTGCCCTGAAGAGCAAGTCGCTTATTCAAGTGTGGCATTCAGTACTCTAGCTACATCCACTTCGCATTTCCCACCCAAACTATAATATCCTCTTGCATCAAGAAGGGATCTTCTCAGCCATGGACCCACGCTCACATTGGACATGAACTTGGATTACAGCACACAGATGTCACAGATGTGTATTCCTGCTGCTGGATCTGCCTTCTCAGCACACTGCTCTGACATCCCAGCACCCAAGGCAAGGTGGACGTGCTAAGCCTGCAATTCTTCATGACAACCCTGAGTGCCTGCATGGGAGAGAACAAATTTTGTTGCATGCAGCCCGAGTTTAAATACCACTGTTGTATCCCACGGGAGAGTCCTGCTACCAAAACCCTACAGAAGATCTTTTACCTCTGTTTCCAACTACAGAGATATTTACACTGGGGAACTTCCATCCACCCGTCCCCAGCGCATCCCTGCAGCATCTGCCTGCCTCCTCCTGCCCTCTGCCACTCGGGCAAACCCTGTAGAGCCCTGTGAATCTCAGGATCTCATGAGAGGTCACCAAAGGACCTGGAATTTATATTTAACTTTGCAGATCCCTGCTTTCCCTGTGAACCCTCCTCCCTTCACCTCTTTCTTACCCTGTTTTCCTTTCAGCTGTTTCCCTTTAAGGACCACAGCAGCAGCTGGCTGGCAGCAGGATGCAGCTTGTGGCTCAACTTGTAACATGTAGCATTTCAGTGCTGCCCCTCTGCCTCCACATTACTGCAAATGAAGACATTTTTCCCCTTAGCAAAAAAGCTCTATGTCTTCCCATGTCTCTGCTCCACATCTTTTTCCTTATTCTTGAGCACATTATGAGCCTCTGTTACTTTCTCTACTGCTATAAAAGCAACAACAGACTCATTTTTCTTTCCAGTAAAGGTGACTTACCATAAAAATTTGTACTACTGTATATTTATGTCATGTAGACCAAAGGAATGCTGAATCATAACAGGTTTTGAAATACAAGAAATAAATACAGTGGAAAAGACAGCTGATCACTATGTAGAATTTTCATAAGGAACTGAATGAGTTACAAGCTTACATCTCATTAACTTCAGTGATGCCTCAGCTCTGGAAAGAGGTAAAGCAGATCCTAATGGAGAGCTTCAGAAAGTGATAACTTGTTTGAAATCCTGAGCAGCTCTGAGACAGTTTCTATGCAATTCTGGAACGTGGATTTTTACAAAGATCATTTGAAACCATAATCCTCATTTCAGTTGAGGGAATGGTGAGAATGGGATTTAAATCCTGCCACCCTAAGTGTAGTATTAGTGATTTTCAGAAATCTAAACGAGGTCTGCGTTTTTGGCAGCTGCAGTGCCAGATTTCTGCTCACAACCACACATCTGGAGGAAAAATTCCGAGCACATTTTTTAACAGCAGCTTTTCCCCTTGCAGCCTATTCTGCTGGACTTCATTCTAAGCAAGAAGTGATACATAAGAAAAGATCAGGGCAGGGAAAGAAGAAGAGCAATAACTGAACTGCCAACCACGTCCAGAGGAAAGCCACAAAGACCACACAGCACGTTTAAGGGCCGTGCAGAACCCAACAGTGCAGGTCAACTCATTGCTCTGCAACACAAACACATGCTCATAACTGGTGTTCCCAGTTTCAGGTATTAAATTATGCTTTTCTACTTGAAATCCCATTTGAAGAGGTCTCAATAATAGTAATAATAAAAGGCTTTGTAGGAAAGGGTATGAATAAATTTACGCCTGACAATATAATCTCAGTGGCTTTGCTTGTATCATCAGCTCCACAAACTTCTGCCAGCTGTTGTGGGAGGCTGAGCCGAGCACCACATTGCTCCAGGAGGAGCTCCCAGCACCAGCAGGGCACCTCCTGCACAGCACTGAGCCCCAGGGGTGTCCCTCTGCTGCGTGCACAGCTGCACAACAGCCAACGCAGCAACTTTCATCACTGACCTGAGCGTATCTCGGGGAACACTGAAATGAAGGTGCAGATGTTTAAGTGCGTTGCTAAATAGCACTGCCAATGATCGTCTTCAATTGCAAGAGCTATCTAAGGCTGTTTGCAAGTCTCTAAATGGCAAACTAAAATTGGTTTTGTGGAAAATGATGTCGTTAGCAGTCACTGTACTGCTCCCCATCCTCCCGTAGCACGAAGTTCTGCTGTCACACATTGCATGGGACCAATGAGGCAGGAGTGGCTGAGTGGCTTCTGTGCCTTCAGAGTTCTTTCATGTCAAGACTGCCACTGACAGGGCCTGGGAACATTCAAGGTTATTGACCAAAATGAGCTTTTCCTAAACGAAGTCTTTAGAAAAAGACCAGGAGAGCTCCAGTTGTATTTTAAAGAGATTTGGACACTAAATTTCCTTTGGAACAATCTGGAAATCCCATCTCAAAAGAGCTTGTAGTTAGTGCGCCTTCTCCAGTGATACACTCTCCTCCATCTAATGAGGTAAATTCAACTTCCACGAGGTCTCAGATCCCTATCGTAGAGTCTTAGCATGGCTTGGGATGGAAGGGACCTCAAAAATCATCTGATTCCAACCTCACTCCTCCTGACGTCAGTATGAACAACATCTCTTGCTTCTGCAGGCAACGGCTCGCTTCAAGAAAGTGACGGGAGTGTCTTGACAGACAGACACCAGGGAAAAACAAAACAACAAAAAAGAAATTACAAACCATGTACAAGTGCACGTTATTTCTTTCCTGTCCCTTTCTGTTCTCTCCCGCTTCTTTCTCACACTTTCAAAATCTTAACAACACTATATTTATTCTCTTTTTCCTTGGATGAACCAGCAATAGGTTCATGTTTTGTTAGCAAGCATAACAAAAATCTAGGTGAAAATATCCTCCATACCTTACTAATGCCAACGGTCCTTCTTGTTAATGTAACTGTGATAAGAAAAATCATACTTCCAGTGAACAAAGAAATCCTATAAAATCATTCTAAATAAAGCCTCAGACAAAGGTTGTACAGACAAATTTTTTTTGTATCATTCCCTATTTCTGCTCATTGCCCCATTTCCTTTGTCAGTTGAAAATATGCTTGGACAACAGGACAGATCAAGCACACTGACCACTGTTCCTGCAGAAGACAGCACACAATTCTGCTCCCATGTAAGCTGAGCACTGTACAAGTCAGGCTGAAGGCACAGCCTCGTCCTTCCTGCCACTGCTGCAGCACAGAGCCT